ACAGTAACTGTATAAGATCATACAACCCAGTGTTTGCCTATACAATAATACTATCAGTCACCATCAAGGCCTAAACTGTCTCTTCTTTTTTTGGCTTCTTTGTATTTCACACACTTAAATCAGTTACAAAAAAATCTGCTCCAGTCACCACATCACATACAGAAATCTCACATTTTGAAGACACATTTTGAAGCAGTGCTGCTCAGAGACATTGCTATCTGTATTTGTAAATTACAATAATCATAATAAAAATTAATAAGTCTGAATAATTTGTATTTACATGCAAAACATGCAAAATATATAGTTAAGTATATTTACTGATTTCAACAGATTAATCAAAAATTAAGCAATTGCAGAGTAATCAAAGGAGAACCAGGATTTTAAAAATGCTTACATTAATAACATGCTTACAGCATGTAATTTAACAACCAAGTGTAGATTTTGAAGCAAACGTGCTTACTGGCTAAATGATCCTGATCAGACTGACTACCTTAGGTATTTGGTAATACGGTATTAGATTACTGAGTTTTTTCGGTAATACTGGTCTGGCCAAAGTAATTACTATACTATCAAAGTACTAAATTCTGATTCCCAGCCCTAAAAAATTACAGTTGCTGACAATATTTGGTTACAAAAAATCCATACCAAGAAGATTAAGGAAAATATTTAGAAGTCTGTCTTGATTAGGTACTTTTTTACATACAGTATGTAGAATATTAACCAAAATACCACCTCTACTTTGATGTAGACACACACATACGTTGTAAACACTTTACGAACCCCATCACAAACCAGAAGTGAACACATGCACACACACACATAGACAGAGTTGTTAGTATTAAGCTGAACAGCTTTGTCGAAAGCAGAAAAATACATTTTCAACGAAAAGGCTAAGCAGCACTAGTCCAGAGTCCTGCCATCTGCAGATTCCTTGCATTCCTTCACCTAAATACACTAGCTGAGTGTCTGAGAGTAGGAGAGGAAAGAAGATGAGATGGGAGAGAATTTTCTACATGTTCAGCTCTCTACGATTCAAATTACAAAATACATTACCACATTTCATAAAAGAAATTCAAATCCATTCCACAGGAACTCATTTAACTATCTGTTTCATTGAGGCTGATGGCATCTGGCCTCAATTAGCTCGGCTTGAAGCGAATTCCAGATGTCTCTACCACATACCATAAAATATTAAGTGTTCTAAGACTTTCAGTGCACACTGTGAACAATGTAACACCAAATAACACAGGGCGTGGACCAAAAAAATTCCCAATTCGAGGATGGGACAAGATAAGTCGGGGCCAAAGCGAAATCTCTACAGGCTGTAGACAGGGATGGACCGATATGGAATTAGACCAACAACCAATAACTACATAAAGTGCAATCATAAGACCAGTTAAACTGTTAAGATGGATCACTGATCAATTTTACTTAGCCAAGTGAGACAAGACAGTTAGTGTACACATTATTAACAGATGCTCTCATCAAGAGTGATCTACTATAGTGCAGGAAGCAGTGGTGTTCCTGCTTAGATTGCTGTGGTATCCACTATGCTGTCCATTTCACTGAATGATTTGTTACTGAATCTTTGCAAAGTAAGGAAATGCCCACCACTAGTGATTACGCATGAGTCAGTGTATGCGCAAGCAAAAATGTGGCACTGGTTGTAATAATCACTGTAATTCAAACACTGGACCTATAATCATCACATTTTCTCATTTTTCAGTGTAAAACGTATCCGGCAGCACTATACTGTGCACCCCTGATTGCAGCTCCAACTTCATTAGCATTTGGCATCAAACAGGAGCACACTGGTGGCCCCTCACCCTGCCCTCCGCTCTCAAAGCCATGAAAAAATACTGAGCACAAAACATTGACGCATTGTCTAAGGCAGCCCCCTCCCAAAATACATCACTGAGCAGAAGAACTAACTCTAATACAGGAGAAGAAGGAGAAGATAAGAATGCAGCACAGTGGGTGATTTGAGCATCTGCCATTACTGTGCGTGTGTTGTGTGAAAATCAGCCAAAATCTTGGCCTGCTGGAAACGTGAGTCACAGTTCCAAATATGTGTCTGACATGTTCTGGCATTCTCTGCCGGTCCTGCATTTATCAGCCTGAAGATCTACATCTGTTACAGCTTACAAAGAGAGCAGATAATAGAACACTTCAGACTGCTTTTGTCCTTAAACAGGTCTGCAAGCACAGCCATGACATGGCGTTATACGTAAATAAGACAAGTTTATTCTCCCCATATTCTAATCAAACAGAAAAACGACCTGGTTCCTCAAATTTTAGCAACACTGCTAGTCAGCAAAATCTGATAGGAGACACATTTTTTCTGTTATTTTTTCCTATGAACAGAGGGTATCCAACTTCAATGTAAACCTTAACTGTACAGAAGAGGTAGACTCACCACTACACAGCAAATATATATTCCAATCTCTTTGCAAAGCAGTAGTTAAAGGGGAATTCCACTGACTTTTCAAATTCCCCGCATAATTCGGTCTGTGATATGTAAACAAAGTCATTCAGAGTGGTTTGATGTAAAACGGTACACTGTATATAGCCCTGGATTCCTTTACAATAGTGGTAATAGGAACCAGGGTTGTGATGTCTACAACCACTACACAGCCATTTTATTTTCCACCAAAACCACCAGAGATTTTTTTCTGCGTTTTTATAATGTAGTGTTGATCACAGTAAATCTGGAAAAATTTCTTTGGGTAATATTTTGCCTCACTGTGCCTTGCATGTGCCTCTCTGTCATGAATGTACTTAAAAAATATTTAGGGGCAAAATCTTACATTTAAACTATTGTAAAACAATGTCTCGTGCATCAGGCAGTGTATTCGTAACCACTTCATGTAATAGCGTTGTGAGGTAGCATTTAGATGCATTCAACACTTCTGACATATGCTTCCCTCTTATCACTGCTGTGAACGATTCCGACTCAGTAAATTTCTCTGGAACGAACATTTCATATTAAAGTGTTCTGAATTATTTTGTTTACGACTTCTGAACTCTGCAGAAAATTCTAAACATCAGTGGATTTTCCCTTCAACACCAATTCGCACCCATGACTTCCCAACTCACATAATTCCAAACACAAGGGCATTTGGCAAATCCACAGGGAAGGGATTTGGGAAGCTGGAAGGCGAGTGAGTGAAATGATTAACATTAGTTTCACAACATACGTGTCTTCTTCCCGTTTAGTTTTATTTAGTTGTTCGTTTTATTAGTTTTATTCTAATGTATGTCATGGTAAAAGCCAACACAGGGCCCTGCTGACAGATTTCAGGTGGACTTCTCAACAAGAACTGAAAAATAAAGGCAAATGAAACCAGCAGGCTTTTATTGACAGGCCAGAACGCTTAAAACGGTTGTGAAAAATAAATTATGTTAACTGTACTAGTTAACTTACAAGTGTGCTCAAACAGGTTTTCACAGTGTGAACGACGCAGTGCTTCAAGACACACGGAGGAACAAAGTACTTCAGGCTCGGAAAAAACAGAGCGTCTTGTGGGTGTCAACAAAAAATACTCCAATCACCACAAACTTATCTCGCTTCTTTCTATCAAGGGCGGCTCGGTGACCAACTGACACTCCCGAATTGCCCCGTTCTGCTGCCCTGTTCGCCTCCTTACAGGATACGCTAGCAAACATTGCGTTATGGAGAGTCATACACATAATAATAACTGTGCTGCCACTTCAACAGCTCGCTGCGTCAGAGCCGCCGGGCTCCTAATCCGCCACTACCAGCGAAAACCTCCCCTGGTCACAGACCAGCCTTCTCCAGCTCCACATTAGCGATGTCTCACTTCCAGAAAGCACTCGTATTTACGAGTTCACACTCTCTGTAAGTCGCCGGGGCCTTTGGCGAGGGGAGAGCTCGGAGAGTTGTTACCGTGCCGCTGCTACAGCAATGACGCAGGACTTCGCTATGCGGTCTCGAGCTCAGCAGCGCGAAAACCAAAAATCTCGCTCAACGTTTAAAGGCGCCTTACCTGCAGATGTTCCTGAAAACGGATGGGCAATATCTGCGCCATTCTTCCGCCGCTGGAAACAGTCGAAATGAAAAGAGATAAAGGAGGAGGGGAAGGGGACACCGAAAAACAGTCGCCCTCTCTGTTTTGTTTCAGCCGCAGGCCCGTCGGATGAAGGAAAAACGAGCGCCTTTGAGGAACTCTGACCGACCCGTTCCGCTACTCCGCTATTTTATCCGACTCATTCACTCGGCGCACCGACCACTGGAACATTAGCACCTAACGCCTCCGCTGGAGAAAGTAGACCCGAGTAGGACAAATTAAGAAAGGGGGGGAGGGGGCGACGTCTGTCATGTTCTATAAGGCAATAACAGTTGACATTCACACAGAAATGATGTATCTTCTTTAAAGCTCGCGGCTAAAAGCAAATTTTAGGCTGCGTGTGATCCTAGAGTAGGAATCGTGTACCCCTCCGCTGCCCCCTTCACCCAGAAAGGAGCACGTGACAGACTCCCCACCACTCCTATTTCTTAGCACTGGACTAGCAGAGAAGGCACCAAGAACTACCACAACGAAAACAACAACTAGTTCTATTACTTCTAGTTCTACTACTACCACTACTGCTACTACTGCTACTACTAATAATAATAATAACAATAAAAATAGTAATAATATATTAAAAAACATTTAATGTATAATTACTATATATTTATAATTATTACAAAAAAATAATCATTATATAAACCTTGCTTGTAAAAACCTTGCCTTCTTTCTTTCTTTGATTATCATAATTACCTCAATTAATTAGAGAAAAAATTTAGAAAGGTTTAATCAATCCATCTATAAAACAGCTATTATCTATCACTTTGGGTATTTTTCTAAATACTTCATATTAACTGAAGTGCCTTCCCTTGTGTGAAGATTATGTTTTGCCTGAATAATGATCTGAACCCAAACTTTTGATGGTGAGTGCACTTTGATCAATGTGGCATATTCACTAAAGAAGTCACACTGCACGGTTCCATTTAGTTTATTCAAACAATTACATAAGATACTTTATATACTGCTGTTAAAATCCAATAAACAATCACAAAATCACACATTTTGGTACAGAGAAAACTGAATTAAAAACTAAACAGCAGTAGATCTGTGTATGAGTGTTTCACTCTGGTTGGTGTATAGCCACCTGTTTGTTGTTGTTGTTATGTGGTGGTGGTGTAGGTTTGTGAAATAGTTTTGTGTGAGAAGTGTCATAGCTGGAGAGAGACAGAGAGGAGGGTTTTGAAAGAGAGAAACAGAAACAGAGTGAGTTAGGGCAGTGCTGGTTATGTGTGGGTGCACATCTACATGTGTATATTGTATATACAAATTGTCAATGTTGCGCAAAACGGGTATCTCCAATTTTTTTTTACTTTTTTTACATAACGTAAAAGCTCTAATGTTTTGCATTAACTTCTGTTACAAATTAGTATGTTTTTTCCTTCTACTGTAAAGTTACCATTTCGGGGATATGAGACATTGTTAGTTTTGCAACAGTATTTTTGTGTGTGTGCTTTTGTGTTTTAGGGATGTACAGGGTGTGTGAGGTAAGTGGTGTTTTTGGCTTGACTCTTGCTGTCAATCAGAAGGAGGGGATTATCCTTATGATGAGAGATCATCTCCTGCAGACTGCTGAAGAGCTGAGAGTGGGAAAGAGAGATATGCAGTGACAGAGTGAGAGAGATGTTTAATAATTTCGTAGCATTCCAGAGTTACTACCTATAGGCCTAATTATTCATTCATCATCTATACTACATACGCCAAAGTATGTGGACACCCGAACATCATATCCATATGTGCTTGTTTTCCACATCTCATTTTAAACCCATGGGCATTAATATGGAGTTGGTCCCCTTCTGTTGTTACAACAGCCTACCCTCTTCCACTTGGAGAGCTTTCCACTTGATTTTGGAATATAGCTGCGGAAATCTATGCTGTGTCGGTGCTACACTGTCCTGTCTGTTTACTGTGTCTAATGTCTGTTTAATTTATCGTATTTATTGTATTGTTTCTAACTTAATTTTTGTTTGCACACTGTCTGCACGTTCGCACTTTGTAATTTTGTACTTTTGTACTTTTGTTCCTTGTTGCACCTTGTTCCTGGAGGAACGTAATTTCACTCCACTGTGTACTTGTACATAGATGGAACGACAATAAAAGCCTCTTGACTTGACTTGACTTGAAATTCACATCCATTTAGCCTCAAGAGAAGTTGTGAGGTTGGGCACTGATGTTTGGCAATAAGGCCTGGCTTGAAGTTAGCATTTCAGGTCTGAACGGTGCTGAATGTACTAAGAAGACAGAATTCTATATTTCAGTGAAGTGACAATACGTTTACTTGAGTGTGGGATTAGGCTACTCAACCCACCCCTGGCAGCAGGGCAGAAATATGACAAAGTGAGCTGCTGAAAATGTGACATTCTATGACTTTGCCACATTTAAAATCACAGAGCTATTTAGTGCGTCCTACTTTATCGCCAGTGTCACTCTGTGGAGATGGCTTGACTGAATGCTTGATATCATGTAATCAATGTAAGCAATGAGTGCAGCTGAAACAGTAGAGCCCACCAATGAGAAAGGGTTTCCACATCCTTTTAACAGTACATTTCTCGATGAAAGGACCAACAAAAATTGTCCAAAAATTAATCCATCCCTTTACTTCCGTTAAAAGTTAAGAACATTTTTCCTTGTCCTGTAAAGTTACCCTTTTGGAGATATAAGGTTTGTTCTGACAGCAGTGATGAACATAAATGTAAACATATTCACAGAAATGCACATATAGCGCAAATGAAGAGGTCACTCCTCTGCTACATTGGTCTCCGAAGTACAGTGCCTTGCAAAAGTATTTAACACCCTTAAAGTCAGAGGCTTTAAAGAAGTGATAGGGTTCAGTGGATGAGACTGAATTGAAGGTACACCAGTCAACAATATAAAGAGCTCAGCAGACACCTGGCCTATATGGGAGGATAGCTATAAAGAACAATTACTGAATAAAAAAACACATCAAAGCATGTCTAGATTCTGCCAGAAATCATCAGAGTGACCCAGCTAAAATGTGGGATAAGATTTTGTGGTAAGATGAAACAAGAATTTAGCTTTTTGGCCAAAATTCAAAACGCATGTGGCACAAACCTAACACTGCCCATTCCTCAACAAACACCATCCCAACAGTGAAGTATGGGGGTGGCAGCAACATGTTGTGGTGATGCTTTTCCTCAGCAGGAACTGAGCATCTTGTTAACAGATGCAGGGAGATACTGCAAGACAACCTGCTTCAGTTTGCTATCAACTAAAGCTTGGGAGAAAATGCATCTTTCAGTAGGACAGTGATCCCAAGCACAAAGCAACACAGGAAGAAAAACAAACAGGTGAATGTTCTACAATGACCAGGTCAAAATTCAGACCTCAATTCCATTGAGAATCTGTGGCACGATTTGAAAGTTGCAGTTCACAAGCGTAATCAAACCAACCTAAACAACCTGAACCAATTCTGCTAAATGGAATGGGTGAAAATGTCTCCAAAGAAGTTCAAGTTAAAAGAAAACTTAAAGCTATTACTGTAGCAAAAGGTGGTTCTCTGAAGTACTAGTCTAAAATGGTTGTATACTCATGCAAGCAGCATTTTGTGAATTTTCTTTAAGGGCATACTGGTTTGTAATTAAAGCACTGGCTGGACAATCTGTGTGCCATTTTCAATCCATACAAGCCTGCTCACTTTTAAGTAGGCTGAATACTTTTGCAAGGCACTTGTATATCTATGTAATCAACCATCAATTTTTCCAATCAGTTAATGTGAAATTAGATCTTTATTTTTATTAATGCAGTTATAAATGTAATCATAATTTTCAAAACCAAATGCATTTGATTAAAATGATGGCACTACGTCTCATTTTGCAACTGTACCTCTTCATTTTTCTTGCCTTCCTTGCCCAGGGCGTAGCTGCTCGAATCTTTGAGGAAGCGCACAGGAATGTTGTACACTTTTTGGTTGAACAGCACGACTAGCGTATAGGGCTGCTGTGCATTCTGAGCAGTGCTGCATCTAACCAAGAAGGAACCGTCCTGAATAGGAACCAGAAAAAAGCACATTCAATATATACACCATATGCTTAGTAACATGGTTGAGACACTTTTAAGATTGTGGGGACCAAATGTGGCCACAATAATGTGATATAAAATGTAATATTCTAAAATTCTGAGGATGTTTCATTGGTCTCCATTAAGAAAAATACTTCTGCAGCTTTCACTTTAAATACTAAAAGAGCCAAAAGAATTCCTTTTGGTTTTGGGGGTTAAGGTTAGGTTTCGGTGTAGCAGTATTACAGTATTACACGGTTCAATCAATGGATATACAACAGTAATACAGCAACGTAATATTATTCAGTATATAGGAGAGAAGCCACAAATAAGCCCATGTACCCTACAAACACATCTGCACTAAAATGTATGAAAATGGCACACATTAACACACATTTTCTTTTTCTGCTACTGTTAATTGTAAGGCAATATAATTATTTTAGCTTGAGATGTGTATGCCTGTGCATTTCAGTGCAGATGTGTTTGTAGGCACTTGTAAGATGTGTTGTAGAGGCACTGTCCTGAACTCGTCACCACAAAAGCCTAGAAAGAAACATTTTTCAAAATTCTGAGAGACAAATATGGAAACTGTTAAAAATGCTCGCACAAAATAGAGATTAAACAGAAAATTATATTACCTTTATGACAGTGTTGCTCAAGATTTCTGATAGTTTGGACTTATAACAACATAAACAGCATTCTGGTTATATACAGCCATTTGCAAAAGTTTGAACATCCCCTGGACATATTACATGTGTTGTTGATTTTCTAAGAGAAAATATGTTAATACTTCCTCTACAGAGAACAACTGTATAAATATGTTATCTTTCTGCCAAATGTAGTGCATATTCTGTGCTTAAGTTTAATATTTAACATATTTAGCAAAAAAATAAAACATAAAAAATAAAATGTGGCATAACATTTGTTTATTTTCTCCAATATGTTACATTCAGCAAATAAAGAATAATTGTGCATTAAATGTGCAGAGGTGTGTTCTCTGTAGAGGATATGTTAAATTATTCTCATTCAGAAAATCAACGAGACATGCAATTTTACCAGAGATACATAAATATAAATTTTGCATACGGCTACATTTACTGAATCGTTATATACAAACTAACAGTCAAACATGTCAAATCTTTGCATATGACTGTATGTGCTTTTGTGTGATCCCAGTACCTCACACATCGTTTCCAACATTTGTAAGTATGAAACTTCTTCTTTAACAAGTTTTAGCAAAAAATTAAGTTTCAGTAACACTACACAGTGTTCTGCTGCTTACCTTCTTCACTTTGAGTAAGGCGTCTTCTGCGGTCTTGCGGCCACATATTCCAGCAAACCATTCTCTGTTCTGCAGCCCTGCCTCCTAGGACACATTAATATCCTACAATTAACCATTGTTTAAAGCACAGTTACTAACCAAGGGGTCAGACCCATTTCTTATTGTTTTTATGGTACCTCTTTAAAGTTACTGAGAACCTGTAAGTAGCAAATAGGTACTGTGAAAATAGTTCAGTAACTCCATGTGTGGTGAGTGTGTTTTTAAAAATGATGCTGAACTATGCCAAAATAATGAAATTTAGTTGAATCAAGATAAAAAGTATGATTTCATGAATCACTGAACTTGTGATGTCGGAGATTTGTTAGATTCTCAGTCAGAAGCCAGGCAACCTGCAGTACACTGTTTATTTCAACTTTTCAACTATGCATCACAAAACCTGATTTCAGCACTAAGATATCATTTTCATTAAAGGGGACCCACCAAATGTCTTGCCTGCTGGGAAGGCTAAAGGGTTGGACAGCTTTACTGGAGTTTTCAAATACTATACTTCAGAACTGACCCCATTCTTACTTGACATGTACACAGAGGCCTTGGAGAGGGGTGAATTAGCCCTTGCTTTGACAAAGACAAAGATTCCTGAAAAGATCCCTGTGAATGTTACCGCCCAATTCCTTTAATTCCACTAGATGTTAAAATACTTTCTAAAATTTTAGCAAACCTATTGGACAAATCTCTTGCACATGTGATCAGGCAGGCTTCACTCGAGGCCAGCGTTCCACAGATAATATTATTTTTATTAACATCATGTGGTCAGCAGCTGATAGTTAGGCATTGACCAGAAGCAGGTGTGCAAGCCAATGGACAAACTTGATGATTTTTCTCTTGGTAGAGGAACGTAGCAAGGTTCTACCAGATTGTACAGGCTTGGTTTAAAAGACACAGCTCAGAGTTGGTGATGTGAGTCTGAGGAAGCGGATTTAATTCATGCTGTGTGCCACTGCCCTAGAAGTCAAGAATGTGAAGTATTAGGTAGTCAAATTCAAAAATGGGTTGCAGAGATGAGCATTGTGGCAGCGTACGAGAAGCTGTCATTTAAACAGTTTAGACATTTAGATGTGTACAGGAGCAAGTAGGGTAAATATTTAAGCTTTATATTATTCTTTATGTTTATTTTTACTGGTATTATTATGTTTTATCTTTTCTTTCCGATATGGGGCTTAGTACATTATATGAATAGGTCATGTCCTAAATACAACACTGACATGAGTGGGATGGGTTAGGGCTAAGGGATAGTTAGGCAAGCGCAAATGTCTTTGTATAAATCTAGGATAAAAAAAAACAATAAAAATTGTTAATCATAAAAAAAGAAGTCATTCAGAGTGGCGGTGATAAGAACCAGACATACAAAGCATTTAATGCTTCTAAAAGCTACTTTACAAAAAGTTATTACATGGCATGTTTCTGAATACACTATTACTACTGATGTCTGAGACATCGTTTTACCATAGTTTTGAGTTAGGGTTTTGGCCTAAAACATATTTTTTAAGATCCTGCCCTGGCAAAGGGGTACATGCAGGCTGTTTCGAAAAGGCAAAATAGTCCTCAAAGAAAACACATTTTCTCTGATTTAGCACTGTTTTATCATTACAACATTACATATGAAACTCAGGAGATATGCATAGGTTCACTGGTTGTTTTGAATAGTAAATAAAATTGCTATATTTGCGTTGTAAACATTGCAGCTGCTGGTTCCTGTCATCACCATTGTAAAGAAATCAGTTGGTTTGCAATGCACCATTTTGGATCAAAACACTCTGAATTACTTTACACTTCAACCATCAAATTATGCAGAAATATAAAAAAGTCTGTGGAATTCCCCTTAAAAGGTTGGGTTTCTTAGTGAAACTAGAGTACGCATCTTTATCTGTATGCAGCCCTTGCTGAGTAGCAGATTTTTACCTGTCCTCCAGGTGGCATCACTGGCACTGTGAGAGAGTGAAAGGGGGAGCAATGTTAGAAATGACAGATCAATGAATGTACTGCTGCACTGAGCAGATTCAAGGCAAAGTCAGAAAAAAAGCACAGAGGCAAAAAAGAGAAATGAGCAAATATAATCTCACCAGTGCTGTCTACTGATGGAGGAGGAGGAGGACTGAAAGAGAAGCACAGACAGATTGGTGTCCACACGTGAGTATACACCAGAGATGTTGTTCAATGAAACACATAGTCATATGCATAAGTTTGAATACCAATGATCAAATTACATGTTTTGTTGATTTTTCTAGAGAACCAACCCTGGTCCTCAAGATCTACCTTTCTGCAGAGTTAAGTTCCAACCACAACCTGCTCCAGCTAATTGACTTTGTCACTACAGAAAAAATGACATTTTCTGCTAAATTTAGTTTGCAATTTCTATTTATTTGCTGAGTTTAACATATTCAGGAAAAATACAACATAAAATATAACATGTTCCATAACTTTTGAATAGGCCACATTTTATGTTTTTTTTCTTTACCTCAATATGTTAAATCTAGCAAATAAACAGCAATTGTGCATTGAAATGTGCAGAAGTCTGTTCTCTAAAGAGGACGTATTAACTTACTTTCACTTATTAAATTAACAAAACATATAACACATATAAACTGCCGATACTTTTTTATGTTCACTCAACTATATTTTTTGCTCCACTCCTCCAATTTTACTTGAGTAAAAGTTTGACACAGTACTCATACTGTCACTTAAGTATAGTTATTTTTTTCCACTTCTAATTTTAAACCAAAGATAAACCAAAATATAAATGAACACTCGGCAAACTTAATTGTTAATATGGACAAATTATGAAAAGAGCAATGGCTTTACTTTGCAGTTTAGTTGTTGGTTTAGAACAGGGTTATTTAATGCTTGTCCTGGAGAGTCTGAGTCTATTTCTATCTTATTTTGGACACATTCTGAGAAGAACCAATACATTGGAAAAGACCATTATGCTTGGAAGAGTTGACGGTAATGGGAAAAGGACGGCCAGCAACAAGATGGATGGGCACAATTATAGGAATCGTTAACCAGACATTCAGAACTGAAGACCCAAACAGGATATTCTGGAGAAACTCTATCCACATGATCGCCAGGAGTCGGAAACGACTTGTTGGCACTTCATGCTTCATGAGGTAAGAAGCAGCTAACTTAAATGAAACAGTGCAAGGCATTTTAGATAAACAATAGCAATTTCACATCAAACCTCAAAAATGTTGTAATATTATTTGCATTAAGTCTCTCATTATCTGTGTACCAAACTGGAAATTGTACATATTTGGTAGCATCTGATCCTGAGACGATATAAAAAGCCATTTTTACATTAGCATAATTTCCTTTGGTCAGGGGCCACCAGAATAGTGGGGGGATGGGGGCTCACCTGTGTTTCATCAGACTTGCCTTCAACTCTGCATTCAAACACAACCAATGGTACAATACGTTCTGCACACTGTGTGCAATTACATATTTCCACCAGTGAGGCCTGCAAATCTTCAAAACTTACATAGTGTTGCTTCACCTTCACCAAAACACTTAATGAGGTTCTCAATTGGATGCACACACCGTGAATATAAAGCACAATTATGCGTCACTTATATTGCTTTGATGCATTTATGTGTACCTTTATTTATTATTTGTCTTGCTGTTTTTTGTTTATATTATTTATATGACGTTAAAAAGACAAGTTTCTCAAAAAGTCAGGAATAGTAATCACAATACATTCCTTTAATATTGTAATCCTTTGGATTAGGTTAGAAATTTCTAACAGGTTATCAGTAATCTGTATTGGAATTTGGAGTACTGGGTAACTTTCTAAGGTAATCCATCCAACCCTGCTGGTGTGTGTGTGTATGTGTTTTACCTGGGTTTGGGTTCTTTCAGGCCGATGGGTAGAGGAGGTTTGTTGTTTGGTGTGGGCGGCGGTGCTTTGGTAGGAAAGGTGAGGCTCCTCATTTCTGGGGGCGGAACTACAATCAAAACACAGAGAAATAGATTTCTATTTTAGATTAAACTAACCCAAAAAAACAAAAAATGAAAAGTATGTAAATAAAAACATTAAAACAATATAAATAAAAACATTGAACAGCACAAATTGGATCAAATTCTGAAATGAAACACAAAAGAACTGTCATTACACACAATGGAAATTGTGTAAAAAAAGGTAGAATATATATGTTTTTAATGTGTGTGGTGGCATTTTGTTTTAGTTGTATTAAGAAAAGAGTCTTTCAGCCCATAAAAACTAATAGGTGGCAAACCATAAATATCACTGGCTATGAGACTGGGTAGAAACTAACAAAATACAGTCAGCTCCATAAATATTTGAACGTTGACAAAGAGTTATTCAGCCACCTACCATAGTATGCTGGAGTTAAATAAAAATAATGAATATGAACTTAATATGAATATGAATATGAGCTCTATTGTGAAGGGTTTTTTTTTCATCAGGAATAAAATTCTTCTGCCATCCACCACCATTGTTTTCCACGGTCTTTTGAGTCTTTTTGTGTGTGTGCTGAGCTCACCAGTGCGTTCTTTCCTGTTAAGAATGTATCAGATAGATGATTTGGCCACACCTATTGTCTGTGCTATCTCTCTGATGGGTTTGTATTGATTTTTCAGCCTAATGATGGTTTGCTTCACTGGCAGTATTGTATAGAGAATTAACAGCAACAGATTCCAAATGCAAATTCCACACTTCAAATCAACTCTAGACCTTTTATCTGCTTACTTGTTAGTGAAATAATAAGGCAATATTGCATACTTGGAACAGCTGAACAGCAAATAATCCAATTACCTAGCTCCTACAAATGGGGGAGGGGTACATATATAAAAATGGTTGTAATCCTACACCGTTCACCTGATTTGGATATAAATATTCTCAAATCAAAGGTGAAAGTCTGCCCTTTATGCTTATATTCATTATATAATCTCAGCTCCAATATGCTGTGGTAGAGAGTTAAAATACCAATAACTTTGTTAATGTCCAAATATGTATGGACCTGGTTATGTATAAAGTTATGATAGCTTAAAAATGAAAACCTGTTTAATCTTAAAACTCAGCCCTAAAAACTAAGTAAAACTAAACAAAAATGTGAATACAATGTAGCTAAATATTGCTAAATCTTTATTGCTAAATAATATTGATTTATAATATCAACATTAAAACTATCATAACATTGTAAGACCACTTTTCTGTTTCTGTTGTTCTGTTTCTTTTGAGTTTAAAAGCAAGATTTAAACTTAAAGTAATCCCAAACACAAACTCAAACCGCTAGACCAGTGGTTGTGATTAGAAACAACGATATGATGTATATTTTGCGTAATATGTGCAGCACACCAAAAGTGAAAGAGGAGAAGGGACAAGCACACTGACCTGGCTTTACTGAGTCACTGCTGATAAGAGAGTTCTAAGGAAAACGATAACAAATAGTCTTTTGAATATTTATATGTGAGACTGCAGAAGTGTACATGTGCGTGTGCATGCAAACACTACTTACAGATTTGGCTCTAGGAACAGGTGGCTTAATACTGGAAGGGAAAAAAGAGAAAGTAGTATCAAACTGTTTAATCCAATTATTCTCAATCAATAACGTTTATTTTTATAGCACCTTTCATACATTAAAAATGCAGCTCAAAGTGCTTCACAATACAAAGTAAAAACAACAGAGGAAGAAGAGACAAAAGATAATCAAAAACCAAAACAAAGTACAATAAACAAATAATAAATAGCAGAAAATTGATATATTAATACATGCAATTAAAAGCACAAGATAAAAGTATAAATAAAAAGAAAAAAAGACAATAAACAATAAACAACAAAAACATAAAAGTAATAGTAATATTCCAGTTAAAACAAAGGAAACAATAAAAAACCTTAAACGCTAAAAACGTTAAATGCTAAAGTAAAGAAATACGTTTTTAACTGTTTTTTAAAAACACTGACAGATGGAGCCTGATGGAAGTTTATTGGTAATGCGTTCCAGATCTTTGGTGCATAATAACAAAATGCTGCCTCTCTGCTCTTTTTCTGTTTCATACATGGAATTTGGAACAGGCTTGCACTAGATGATCTTAAAGCTCAATTAGGAACACAGTCAGAAATGCACTCAGAAATGTATGAAGGTGCTAAACCATTAAGAGATTCAAAAACCAGTAGTAAAATTTTATAGTTAATTCTAAAAGAGACAGGCAGCCAGTGGAGTGAAGCTAAAACTGGTCTAATATGATCCTGTTTTCTAGTCCTTGTTAATATTCTTGCTGCTGCATTTTGCACAAGTTGTAGTTTGTTGGTTGTACTTGCAGGAAGTCCTATGAACAAAGCATTACAGTAGTCAAGTCGAGAAAACACAAAAGCATGGATCAATTTCTTAGCATCTTGCAGACAGAGATAAGGTCGAACTCATGCTATATTCCTTAAATGATAAAAAGCAGTTTTGGTAATATTATTAATATGTGCTTTAAAAGTTAAATCAGAGTCTAGAGTTACACCAAGATTCCTAACTTCAGTTTTTATTTGTAGAGCCAAATTTCCAAGTCTTTCATACACCTTTTTCCTCTTTGTTTCACTACCAATTATAATTATTTCTTTCTTTCCTTCATCAGGCTTTAGAAAATTGCTATTCATCCAGCTAACTATGCTGAACAGACATGTAGCAAGCTTGTCTGCTGAATTAACATTGAGCCACAGACATATACAGCTGTGTATCATCTGCATAACTATGAAAACTGATGCCATGCTTCCTAATACTCTGACCCAGTGGCAGCATATACAAAGAAAACAGAAGTGGACCTAGTACAGAGCCTTGTGGTACACCACAGAGAATATCATGCTTATCTGACATACGTTCACCCATGTTTAAAAAATACTGCCTTCCAGTTAAATATGTAGAGAACCAGTTTAACACAGTTCCATTAAGACCAACCGATTTCTCAAGCCGATTTAGAAGTATTCTGTGGTCTATAGCATCAAATGCAGCAGTTAAATCCAGAAGCATACGTACCAAAACATGACCCGCATCAGCATTTATTATTATTCTTCTTATTATTGTTATTCACAACCTTCACTAAAGCAGTTTCAGTGCTGTGATCTGCTCTGAAGCCAGACTGGAATTTTTAATGAATATTGTGTTCATTTAAGAATTCATTAAGCTGTGAGAAAACTATTTTTTCAATTATTTTACTTAAAAATGGAAGGTTAGAGATTCGTCTGTAATTGCTAAGAACTGAGGGTCAAGGTTATGTTTCTTCAATAGTGGCCTTACAACTGCTGTTTTGAGTATGTCTGAAAAAGTGCTTCCAAAGAATGATTTACAATGTCCAACACACTTGGACAAAGGGTGTCAAATACTTCTTTAAATGCTGTTGGAATAGGATCTAAAACACAGGTATAGGAATTTAACTGCATGACAACTTTTTGAAGTTCTGTCTCAGTAATCTTGTTAAAACTATTCATGGTGTTTTGCTGTTGAATAAAAATAGTGTACTATTGGTTGTTTGGGAGGTATAAAATGTGACCGAATGTTAGTGATTTTTGTATTAAAAAATAATGCAAAATCATTTTGATGTTGAAGCCTCAGTAAAATAATAACAGGTTAATTTAGGAATTAACAGGCAATCAGTTATTGAAAATAAAACTCTTGGGTTGTGTCCGTTGTCATTAATAAGTTTTGTGTAGTATTTCTGTCTCACTGTTCGTACTGCATTGTTATAAATATTAATACAATTTTTAAGAATTTCATAGTGAATAGTTAATTTAGTTTTTTTCTCCATTTCCGTTCTGCTCTGCAGCAGTCCCTTTTCAATTGGTTTATCTGTTCTTTTTTCCATGGCATTTTTGTGGTCAAGGATTTCTTTTTAGTTTTTATCTCATGCAACACTATCTAGAACAGATCTTAGTGTACAGTTGAAATTGTTGACCATGTCATGCACTGTTGAGCTAATAAGTAGAGGAGGTTTGCAATGTAGAGCATTACTAAAAGCAGCTGCTGTTGATGTGTTAAAATACGGCTTTTTCTTCATTTATGTTACTCTATCTTTTGTGCCAACAGAAGCCGACATACTAAAAAACACACAGTAGTGATCAGAGATAGCGATATCAAGGATTTCATTTAAGTTAATAAATAAACCTTATGACAAGACTAAATCTGAAGTGTGACCATGACTATGTGTTGAACTACTTATGTGCTGAGTAAAATCAAACGTGTTTAAAAGTTGCATGAATTCAGAAGCTTTTTTGTCTGAGGCTTCATGAACATGAAAATTAAAATCACCAGTCAGAAGAATCCTATCATGATTAGTTACACAGACAGACAGTAGCCCAGACAATTCTAGTAAGAAGGAGGGTGCGTATTTGGGTGGACAATAAATAACCACCAGCAAGACTGGCTCCTGACCTTTAAGTAGAATGCCAAGATATTCAAAAGAACAAACCGTTCCAAATGAAATGTTTTTGCAATTAAAAATACTGGACAAAGCAACAGCTAGACCACCTCCCTTCTTACCTTCCCATACAGTATTGATAAAATCATAATTCTGTGGAGCAGTTTCATTCAAGGAAACTGCCCCATCTGAACTAAGCCAGGTTTCAGTAAATATCATAAAATCCAGTTTCTGTTCAGAAATAAGATCATTAACAGTGCTGGTTTTGTTAGTTAGTGCTCTTACATTCAGTAGTGCCATTCTAAAATTTCTATCCAACTTTGTTAAAATGCAATTCGTTGGCTTATAAACTTCAACTAACTTCAAGTATTTATTCCTTTTAGTTCCTGTAGTACGTACTGCATTGCGATTGCGTACTAAAGTTTGAATAGAGGAGTAACCATTAGTGCCAGATGAGTTTCTGTTTATTTACTTATTTCTCTATTTTATTTTATTTTCTCTCTATGTATGGGAATTGTGTGCCGATATCAAATATTTTTCATGAACATATCTGCTGATGTCGATACATTTATAAAACATAAAAATTTGGAGTCATGAATTAGCATTACAGAGATCTAACATTTACGTGTACAGGGCTACAACTGAAGTAATATAAATAAAATGCAGATATTTTAACATCGCCTAAAAATACTGCTCTTCTGAAGTACAATAAATACATCAATCAAACAATCAAATAAAGGTTGGAAATATTGGTGAAATCTAAAAATCTGTCTGTTTCCTTTGTTTTATCAAAGCTGCATATAACCTGTATAATGTTGATTTGAGACCTAAACATTGAGCCAGATCTTCTTTTTGCCCGTCACATGTAAAGACAAATGACGTGGCCTGAAAAACGGACTCAATAACACCACTTCTTTCAGTTTTAATAAATACAACTTACATAGTACTCCTTTATGCAAATATCTGCTGATGCCGAGATGAAGCCAATATTATTGTGCATCACTACTTTTTCCTGTGTAATCAAGCTAACACTGGCATAGTGACAAATTTGATGCTGTCACTTCCAACCCATATAGTTCAGATTACAGCATGTTAAAGTGGAAACTCATTGTTATCTAGCAACTCTAAATAAATACTTGTAGGTTAAATGGAATGTTTGCCAACATTTTCTAAAGCTTGTCCAGGTCAATTGAGAACCACTGGCAAAAGAACTATGCGTCTTCTGACAAATATGAAAAATACACAAAAATACACATACATGCACATACAGAATTCTGTATTCATATTTTTGCAAGGTCTTACGTCGACTGAACCGATAATATGACAAAGTCCTACATCTTACCATTACTTTACCCACTGACATGAAATACAAATCTGCTAGCTCTTTCATGTTTTCCAAAAAAAATGTTTATCATCTACAAAAGTAAAGGTGTTCAACGTTATGAAGCTAAGTAAAAACCTCACAAGTATGTTTATTCTCATATTTCACTGTACCTGTGAGAACATTTGGCTCTAACAAATATAACACTACAGGTATACATCCTCTTTTACACATCCAGTTGTATGCAAAAGTTTGAACACTCACAGTCAAATCACATGGGTGGAAATAAGTTAACACAACCTCCACTCCTACGCACATTTTAATGCACAGTTCCTGCTTATTTGTTGACTTTAACACATTGGAAGAAACTACCTATATGCAAAATGTGGCGATTGCAAAAGTTATACACATTTTATATTTTATGTTTTATTTTTCCAACTCAGCAGATAAAAAGAAATGGTGCTCTGAAATTTGCATAAAAATACCAAGTTTCAGGTTGTTCTCACTAACTTATTTTCACTGAGAAAATCAACAAACCGTTTCATTTGATCAGGGGTGTTTAAACCTTTGCCTATGACTGTACAAACTTACATGGGTGGAGGAGGATCTCGCCCTATGGTCTTGGGAGGAAGAACCATGCGTACACCACCACGGGGTATGGGTGGGCGTGCTGAAATGCAAACAGTCAAGCAATCAAACAAAACCTCTATTGATGCCAATATTTATGTTTAATCTTTAAAGGTGACAGTTTTGTTAAAGTAATTTTGTTAAGCCAACAGAACAGTGCTATCCAATAAAGCTGAAATAAATTCAAACAATAATTACCTGGTGTGGGTTCCAAGTATACATCATGTGGAGGCTCTCTCCCACTCTGAAACAAATCAAATACACTGTCAGCACAAAACTGCACCAGCAGATGATGCATTGCATGTTCTACAGGCCTGCTTATGGAACTGTCATGACCTATAAGTATAATATCAAACATTAGTTTAGTCAGTAGGGCTGCACAATCTTGTTATAGTTAATCATTATTGCAATATTGGCCTTTGTAATATTGTTGACTGCAATATGCATACTTCTGCAATGACTCCTTTGCATTTTGAAGTAGAGGCACATATGCCATTCAAAAAATGTAAATAATTTCTGATAAAATAATGCAGGCCTGCCAGGCCTCCATTTGGGAGCAATCAAGTTGGGTACATTTTTGACTCCTTTTTGTTTTTCAAATATTGATTGCAAAAATATCACAATGTGACTTTTCCCCCAGAATTTCCACCTAATATCCAGTGTTTTGCTTTTGATGGTTTTGAAAAAAATCTATATTATATTTTCAAAATATATCACTGTCTCAATATCTGATAAAATATAAGCCACACCACGTAAATTTTGTTTACATCACCTAACCCTATTTGAATGGTTCAACAATGATGCTCACCTGGCCTTCATTTGGGTCCAAGTAAACATCTGAAAGAAAGTTGAGCTTTGAGTTACCATGCACAAGTACAGGTATCAGCTCTGCATCATCAACATACAAAATGCAAGTAGTGAAGAACGCATGTAAAGATGCTTGAAAGCATGTACTATCACTCAATGAGAATTGTCCATAGCCAGCCATTCACAAGGCCCTACAGCCTTACCTCTCATCCCAAACCAAGGAGATTAACAGTGCGAAAGACCAGATAAGCAGATGAGAATAGAATAGAATAGATGGGTGAAGTAAAAGAAAGTGAAATTCAGAGAGAGGAAATGGGTGAGAGAGAGAGTGAGAGATAGACAGAGGGACAGAGAGACAGAGATAGAGAGAGAGAGAGAGAGGGAGAGACCTTCTTCAAGATTAGGAGCGGGTATTGCTGGAGGACTCTTCCTAAGGGGCCCCTTTTTATCTTTACGGTTGACTTCAGGGACTTCCAAAAAAGAACATGAAAGAGAGAGAGAGTTAATATGTTGCATTTGCTCAAAGGGGAATTACATCTATTTTTCAAACTACCTACATGATTAAACGGTTAAAGCGTAAACAAATTCATTCAGAGTGGTTTGATGTGAAATGCTCTTTTCACAATATTTCAGTCAGAATTGTTCACATTGCTGGTGCCGAACCAGACCTAAATGACTTTAAAAGCTACCTCACAGAAAGTTTTTACATGAAATGGTTATGAATATGTTGCATGTTGCCTGAAACATTGTTTTTTGATACTGTTAATATGAGGTTTTGGCCTGAAATTTAGTTCTTAGGAGCCATTCAAGGCAGAGAGGTACAACCCCTTTTCCAAAAACATTGGGATGCTGTGCAAAATGTAAACAAAAACAGAATGCAATTATGTACAAATCATTTAAGCCCCATATTTAATTGAAAACAGTACAAAGACAACAGATGTAACGTTGAAACAGAAATTTTGCTGTTTTTTGGAAATATATGCACATTTTGAATTTGATGCCAGCAACATGTTCCAAAAAAGTTGGGACAGGGGTATTTTTACCACTGTGCTGCATCACCTCTTCTTTTAACAACACTCTGTAAGCATTTGGGAACTGAGAAGACCAATAGTTGTAGTTGTAGCAAAATGTTTTCCTGTCCCTTTTCCCATGTCTGACTTATTGATATAGGATTTAAACTGCTCAACAGTTTGGGGTCTCCTATTTTTCATTTCATAATGTGCCAAATGTTTTCAGTGGGTGACAGGTCTGGACTGCAGCGAGGCCAGTTTAGTACCTGGACTCTTTTATTATAGAACCATGCTGTTGTAATATGTGCAGAATGTGATTTAGCATTGCTTAGCTGAAATAAGCAAGGCCTTCCCTGAAAAAGACGTCATCTGGATGGCAGCACATGTTGCTCCAAAAGCTGTATATATCATTCAGCAATTACGGTGCCTTCACAGATGTGCAAGTCACCCATGCCATGTGCACTAATTCACCCCATACAATCACAGATGCTGGCATTTAACCCCTTAGAATTCCAGGTTTATTACATACTAAGGCTTATTATTCAGTAACTACAGGGACTTGAACTATTCTTTGGTTATAGAAGTGTGTAATAAACCTTTGGGCCTGCTGGCAGCCCCTGGTCATTTTAGAGGTTAAACTATGCGCTGATAACAAGCTGGATCCTCCTTGAGCCCGGAGGATGCAGTGTCCATGATTTCCAAAAAAATTTTAAATTTTGATTTGTCAGCCCACAGGACACTTTTCCACTTTGTCTCAGTCCATATTAAATGAGCACAGGTCCAAAGATGGGTTTCGTTTCTGGATCATGCTTATACATGGTATCTTCTTTGCACAGTACTTGCAAACTTGCATTTGTGGATGCAATGATGAATTGTGTTCACAGACGATGATTTTCCTGACATGTTCCTGAGCCCATGCAGTGATCGGCACTATAGAATCATGTCTGTCCTTAATGCAGTGCCTAAGAGCCCAAAAATACAGTGCCTTTAATGTAGTGCCTAAGAGCCCGAAAACCAAGGCCAGCCAATACTGGTTTTCGGCCTTGTCCTTTGCATACAGAAAATTCTCTGTATTCTCTGAATCTTTTAATGATATTATGTACTGTAGATGATGAAATCCCAGAGTTCTTTTCTCTTTTACATAGAGAAACATTATCCTTGAATTGCTGCACTATTTGCTCACGTAGTCTTTCATAGAGTGGTGAACCCCTCCCCATCTTTACTTCTGAAAGACTCTCTGAGATGCTCTTTTTATACCCAACTGACCTGTTACCAATTAACCTAATTAGTTGTCAGATATTTTACCCGGTGTGCTTTTAGCATTACACAACTTTACCAGCCTTCTGTTGCTCCTGTCCCAATTTTTTTAAAATGTATTGCTGGCAGCAAATTCAAAATGGACATTTATTTTTCAAAAAATAAGAAACATTCTCAGTTTAAAAATCGACATGTTGTCTCTGTACAATTTCCAAGTAAACATAGGATTTAATTGATTACTTGACAATTTAATTGATGATACATCTCAACTGAATTATGCAGACACTTTGAAAAATCAGCGGAATTCCCTTGTAAAATCCCAAGTACTTACCACTATAAGTTGTGGTTATCGCTCAGGAAAAAAAGCATGGTGTTAATGCATATGAATTATTTCGCACTTGTAGCTCACCAAAGCAAGGGGAGAAATTCTGTTGTACAGATTTTGAGTATTAAATTGATATAATTGTGTTCATTGGCAGGAGATATTTTATTATGATTTGTGTTTGATGAAGGTTATTGTTGTGTGTCCAGTCTTCACATTCTTGCTTCGTTTTTATCATTTCTTAATACTGAAATAAACGGAAAAAAGCCAGAAGCTCAGACTTAAAGTTTCCAGTACAAAATTTAAATTGAATGTAAATATAATTTTTAAATAACTCAACATGTAAATAAGTATGTAATTTTGAATGACATTTGAATAGCATTGTGGAAATAATAACTCCACTGAGGAATGTATGAGGTTTAACAGCACGCTCCATATGCATAAAAGAAAGCTGCCAATCTGCTACTGGCTGGTGGTACCAATAAAACAGACATTAAGGCATCATTGCAATTACAGAAATGCAATAAATTACAGTAATGACTTTCCTCCATGTTATTAATCTACTTCTACTCTTGGCTGGATAAGACCATGAACTGTGGATGGCCCTTTGGATGAGATTTACTGATGGAACAATTTGGAACTGTTTTCCAAATATTTGACTGCATTAAAGTGGAAGGATGTTAATTTGGCCTTCTCTAAAGTATGTTAGTTAATGAATACTGGCACTGAGTGCTGTAATGTCACTTGACTTTACAATCATTTCCTAGTTTGTTACAACTGCTTTCCAATGTGCACAAGCAGTACAGCTGAAAAAAACCTGGATAGTGAGTTCTGTCAGGCGTAGGACAAAGTGGACACTCACATTTTCTGTTGTTGGGGTCAATGTAGAACTCTTCTTGGTCAGTTGGTGGCTCAGGTGGTCTCTAAAGAAAATACTCGGATTACTCATATAGGATGATGCACAGCGAAGAGAGAAAAAGCAGCTTTTAAAGAAGCAGCTTCATTTTTATGTGTTTAGCATTACCAATTACCATTTTAGGTGTGATCTTTGCTGGTCGTGGTGGAGGTGCTGCCTGTCTTTGGGGAATAACAGGATGGGGTCTCTCAGGATAGCCTTTACACAGATACGACACCAGACAACAATAAACAACACAACATGCTTAACACACTTCATAAATTCATCGAACAATGAAATGAAAAATGAGTAACTGGCATTTACAGTCATATTGTTGCCTCAAAAACAAAATATGTATCTCCAAAATTGTAACTTTAAAGAAGAAGAGAAAAACATCCTTTACTTTTAATGTAAGTTAATATAAAGGGACTTTATTCCAAGCAATTCTGGAGTATTTCTATTGGTCCATTCATCATTAAATTTTTAGAATGTAAAGGGAAGTTGCTGTACTGAAATAAAGTAGAAAAATAAAAATCGGACAAAACTGAGATATTTGTTTTTGGTGTTTTTTGGACAGCAACATTATGTGAAAATATGACATTTTCTGCTCTTTTTAATGCACAATTTGTATTCATTTTCCAAGTTTAACATACAGGTAAAGATAATAAAACACAAAATATACAAAATATATATATATAAATATAAAATGTGCCAAAACCTTTGCACAGGCCTCATTATGTTTTATATTTTTTCTCCAATATGTTAAATTCAACACATAAACAGTAATTGTGCACTAAAATGGTCAGAAGTATTTTCTCTGTAGAGGATCTTCTAAGCCGTTTATCCTTCTGGGAGCTGGAGCCTATCCCAGCATTCTTTGGGTGGAAGGCAGGATACACCCTGGACAGGTCTCTGTAGAGGTTGTGTTAACTTATTTTCATCTAGAAAATCAACAAAACGTGTCATTTGACCAGGGCGCCCAAAATTTGAATGCATACAACTGCAGACAGGACGTACTGGAAATGACTACCAAAAGAACAGAGCTGGGTAGTAACTTGTTTACTTAGTTTACTCAGTTAAATAAACAAAATTCAAATAGACTTTTGCAAATGATGAAAGTAATCAAATTTTTACTCAGCTCTACTATAGCCATAACGTTCAGCTACTAATTGCTTCCTGACAGAGAAAAGCAAACAGAGAAGATCAAACATCAGTTTCTAAGCTGGTAGATGTTGGATGCAGTAAGAAGTTCCACTGAAGTTCCACAGAAAGAAAAAAGTGCTATATTTGTACTCCTACTCACCCATTCAAACTCTTTTATTCCAGGCTACTTTTACTTCTGCTTAAGTCAATGAAGTAATGACATGTTTACTTTTACTTTCAATGGGTTTAGGCTACTACATTCACTTTTGCAAGGGAAGAGAAAGAGCTTCAGAAAGGCTGTTTAAAATGTTTGATTGGCAAGTTTAATAGTTCTGATTAAATGTGTTTAAAACTGCATATCCCAACAGTCCACTCAATAAACCAGTGTTGCAAACCAGATTTGAGCAGAATTGTGGACTATCTGGGGGGCACTGAGGACTGTGTTGGGATCCACCACTCTAAACTATACCAAATAAAAAAATCATGAATTTCACAGCATGCCAAAGTTCTATTCATCCTCATATATGCTCTGTATTTTGTGGCAAATCTTCCAAGTAAGTACTTGACCTGTGATTTTTCTTTCCTTCATTCTTAACATGTTCGGTTAAAAGAATTAATGAGTAAATAGAAGATGTACATACATATATGTTTGTTAATTTTTGTGAATGTTGCAAAAACATAACATTTTCAATTATTCCCCACCCCAACACATCTGATCCAGCTAGTGGAAAAAAATTGTCAAGCCCTTTAGGAGCTATATCAGGTGTTTTGGGGCAGAGAACACATTAAACTGTATGGTTTCCTTCAGGTTTCCTTATTACATTTCTAGTATATAACTTTGTTAAAATTACAATGAGAAAATTCAGTAATCCTTAAAACCTGTGCTTGTAACATTTTCCCAAGCAAAATATGTATAAATATCACAGTTTATGGTCAGTGGATTCCAAAAAAAAACAGTTTAAATGGAAAAAAATACAAATTTATCATCAATGCTTGGGTTTCTGAGGGCTGGTCAGGGAGGTTTAGATACCGAGGTAAACATTCTCCTCTACAGGCTGACGCTGGACTTTGATGGTGGGACGCTCACAGGGGGGAGCTTCATACGTATCACCTTCTTCTTCACCCTACACAAACACACAAACACATCCACAATGCCAGTAATGATCATAATATGTCTTTGTCAACAGAAATAAGCACTTCATTTTATCACATTAACATGGCAATTTGAACCCTCTTAAACCAACTAACTGCGGGGGAGTTCAGCTGTTGGGTGGCGATGAAACTAAAGTCATGGAAACATCGCAGAAGCATTTGGAACTAATCGTGTCATTCAATTACAGGTTTGGGAGGGAAGTGAGAGGTGGCGGCACTGAACGCCTTTTGTCACAAACAGGAAGCGAGATAAACACTTTCCTTTTCACACTTGTACTGTGGATTCTTGACTGTAGCCAAAATCACATTCTATCCTACACTGCAAAAAGTGCTATCTTGTCAAGTGAAATTATCTTAAATATAGTCGATATATGTAACATTTCTCATTTTGAGATTGTTGTAAGCTTATTATAAGACTTTTTTCTTGACAATTTTACTTGTTTTAAGTGATTTTAGTAAGTCAAATTATCTCACTATATTGGATAACATCTTGCTTTAGGCATATTTCCTACAACAAGCAAAATTATCTGCAAATATAGTGAGATCATTTGACTTAAAATAGAAATAAGTTACATAGTCTTATAAGAATCTGTCAATCTGTCAATCTAAAAATAGTAAGAAATATTCTGTGTTCAACTTACTTCTAGTTTTTGTTCAAAGAACATGTCACCTAAAAATGTGAACATGGCTTGCAATGAATAAAAAAGCAAGGATTAGTTAACATCTCATGTGAACAATGCTAATTAGCATCTACTGTCTTTCAGTCATTATAAGAAGCATTAGCATTTTGGATGAACACATTTTTAAGGCACAGATCCTCTACATACTTGTGAAGTATAAACTTTTGTTCATTTTCTTCCAAGAATGCATTGTAACCAATGAGTTGATCAGGGACGCAGAATTGAAATCACCCAATTGTTGCTCTACAAAGGAAATCAGCAATCGGCCATTTTAATCATTTATATTAGCCAACTGGTGTTGCAATTTGATGATGTAAATAACATGAAGCAGGTAAGTGCATTCTTGTTGTATTAATGCTGCTGCTACACTTAATGTCGTAGCATAATTATGCATGATTCACTGGACAAAATAGCCACTTATTAGCCGACTGCCTCTTAATTTCAATGTACGCTTTACACGATGAAACTTCAGAGCAACCTTAGCAGCTTAAAACCAATAGGAACCTGAACTGCACTTGAGTTGCATAATGTAAAGCATCCTGCAACTCAAATGAAACTCAACAGTTTACACCTTTTTAAATGGTATACATTACATAGATTATACATTTTCTCTTTTCTTAATGGTCTCCTATTTCAACATTGAGCTCCGATTCCCCTGGAATCCAAAGAATGAAAGTTATTGCAGAGGGGGATACTAAGATTTACTCCACGATGAGCTCATAGAGCTTCTAGAACAGGAGAAGTGAGGCATCAAGAAGAACATTCATTTTCAAAGGCTTAACCTACACAGAGCAGATTAAACTAAAACTAAATAAAAAAAAAAAAACTAAAATGGCAATGACAGCTGGAAAAATTTATGTTATACAAAGGCTATAAAAATGCTGCAATTATATAAATATAATGATGACTTTATATAGTGAGAATGATATGGTATTCTAAAACGTATGAGCTGTTAATTTAGTTAACTAGTGGAGTAATCAACTGCTTCGTGTGAAATGTGAAGTTGCATGGAAATTTTGTTGCATGCAACTAGTCGCCTGAAAGTTTTACTGTGTAAAGCCAGCCTAAAATGTCAGTTTGGCAGTTTATTAAAAATAGCAAAAATGTTTTTTTATACTGCCACTTTTGCTAAAAGAAATTTCTGGAAAAGTGCTCTTGTGGTTCATGGGTTCATTTCGTCCAAACAATGCGAGCTTTAAGTTTAAAAAAATCAGCCAGTGGTTATTCTGTCCGTAAAGAAATCTGTATCGATCATAATTTTGCACCTCTAGTGTTTGTCTATGTGACTCTACTGGCATATTTAACTGATTAATTGAAATCCCTGAGGAAGAGTGCTCAAGAGTACAAGCCAAACATATTTAAAAGGACAGCTAGTGCTGAGAACATAGTATGACAACAAGTGAACACAACAACTGTGTGTGTAACCGCTACACTTACAAATTCATCCTCTGACCAACCATATGCAGTATTGGTATCTAAAACATGAACAAACAAAGAGTGAGTGCCAACAACACAGTAATACAGATACGCACACACACACACAACAGCACTTCAGCACTGTTTCATATCATCACTATTACAACAAAACATCATATCTTAGAAATAGCCACTTTATAGGAGAAAGAAAAACATTCTAAACTTTTAAAGTACATTTATGCAATAATCTTTTATTTTAAGTAATGTGGTGTAAAGATGGTGTAATAAACTAAAGAAAACAATAAAAAATGTAGAAAAAAGGTTAACAAAGATGATTTATCATCTGATATGTAGTCATAATCATGTTTGAGTACCACAAGTAGGTTATCCACAAGGGCCCAGTAAAGGCACAATTTAACAGACATGACTGCTAGCCCTAGTTTTGAATCTTAGAAATCCTGCACTGAAAGTGGAACATACTTCAAATACAGTACTGAGATATAAAGAAAGACGTTTCTAGAAACTTACAAATGCTTTCTTACATGGTGCACATTTAATTCTACATAAAAACAGATCTAAATTGTTTGGCAGGACTCTAATAATGCCCATGGGCATAGGTTGGCATATGGATGGTAGGCAGATGTCAGCAATATTTTGGGAGGACAGAATTGTCCCTAACAATATTTAAGCAAACTCATTTGCATTATCTTCGAAGAAAAGTCATATTCCGAAGTGCCCGCCCAGAGGCTATGTCTCCAAGACGACCAATTTTGGCATGTTAGCATTTGATTGGCTGGAAGGGAGGGGGCTAACTGTAGGCTCATGTCACAATGTGCAAATATCTCATACTCACTGCCAGTCACGGAGGCAAGAGCTGATCAGTGTGCTGCCATTGGTACGTTATCAAGGCTGTCAGTCCATACCTCAAGCATACACGTTTAGTATTTTGTAGGTATCATGTCACCAAAAAAGAGGAGGGACATCAGGAGCTTTTTCACCACCCAGAGAGTAAGTATTAGGTAGTAAATTAAACAGCTAGTAACCACGTTGATTTAAAATGAAAACCTTCTCGCTATCTAACATGCCATAATTGCAGGTTGAGGGAGAAGCAGCTAGACATTTAGGGCCTCAGGTTAGGTCTACTAATGATTCTGCACATTAAACATATGCTTTTATTATTATTGGTTTTGCAACAGACTTATAATGAATCCAGCCCCAGCTGGGGGGGGTGGTGGTTGGGGGGGGGGGCATAGGAAGTAGGTTGTTGTGTTCCTACCAATGTTGAGGCCAAATCTACGCCCTTGCTAATGCCTGAAATGCCTCTTAGGTTAACTTTATCAGGATGGATTAATAATCATGTTTCTCACTTCCTGCCGATCAGATACCTTGAAAGGATTCTGGATTGAGAACATCAAGATGACGACAGATAATTGGGGAAAAAAAACGTGGCTGTGGCTGAGGGGATGTATTCAGCTTTCACTCCAATGGCAAAAGATACTGGAGTGTAATGGGAGGAATGTGTACACTGGAAACAAGTAATGAACGAAGACTCTGCAGTTCATCTGCAGTGCCTCGGCCTTTCCTGCTAGCTTGCAAGCTCTGCTAATCACATCAAGCTGTCAATGCTAGCTACTTAACAGGCAGCTTCAATCTTGGATATAATCCATATGTATAGCTAACCAGTGGTCCCCCTTTATGCCAGCAAATTCTTTATTGCTGCGCTGAATTATTAGTCCATTTCATTCTCTCTTCAGTCGTTGTTGCAGCAAACAAACTGTTGAACACTGCCAGTCCCTAAAATGACGCCACCCACACAGAGCTACAGCCCAGGGACATGCGTGTTTCAGCAACGAACAGTCAGTGAGATATGGCCATTAACCATTCTTGGCCAACCTGCTGAGCGGTCCAGCAAAAAGGTCTTTGATGTTTTACTAATTTCCTGCCCGAGCATTTGTATTTGTTAAACATAAACCCCGCTGCAAAACGCTCCTGATTTGACTGACAAATGCACATAAGGAAAAAAGAAAACTAATGCACCATGCCACTAATTCGTCATAAAAGGTTATCTTAATCAGGCTAACAGGTTCGTACTACATTGACAATAAGCAAATTTCAAGAACATTACGTAACCTAGTCTGACTTTCTGAAGCACCTGCATCACTTCCATTACAAGAGATTCTTTCTTCTCTGGTTGCGTAAATGCAATATCATTTGTAAATGTGGTCAGTATTGTTTGTAACTATGATGGGTCACTTCTGCACAGTATGTGGAATTCATTTTACCATTAAAAAAAACACTGATTACTGATGGAAAGAACTAATTACCTATCCTCTTGGGTGGGGCCGGGGGACCACTGTGTCTGTGTGAGAAGAAAGAGTTCAGAGTAAGAAAAACATGCAGAAGGAGTGATATAATGAATATGGACCAGGTAGCGTCTAAAATAAACAAGGCAATACTTACAAGTTTTTCAGCTTCTCAAAGAAACTCTGAAAAAAACAGATGAGATACATGTGAACAAAGTGCATACACACACAATATACATATTCACACATGCATGTCCAAAGGTTTGTAGACACCTGCTCATCCAACATTTCTTCAGGTCAGGTACTGATGTTGGATGATCAGTTCTGGATGATAAAAGCCACTGAAACTTATACAAAAGTTATTGGATGGAGCGCCATCACTCCAGAGAAGACAGTTCCACTGCTTCACAGCCCAATGCTGGGGGGCTTTATATCTAGTTGACACTTGGCATTGGGCATAGTAATCTTAAGCTCAGGCTGCTCCAGAATGTCCCATTCTGTTGACTATGCTTTTCTATGGAGATTATACAAGCAGTGTGTGAGCAACTGAATGTCTGTGTCAGCAATGACCTGGGCTGATTTACCATTAAACAGCTTGAAAAAAACATTGGGAAATTGGGGTTCACGTTTAAGAAGTGTGCAAACTCACACACCAGCAGTCAGTTTAACATAGAGAGAGAGAAGAGAGAGAAAGAGAGAGACAGACAGACAGAGAGGTTTGTTATGAAACTGCCTGTGTTATTTATCTCTGCTTTGCACTGTAATGCACATACAGGTTACCCTTAATTTACTTGATGTGAATGGGATCAAAAGAAATGCCGACTTGCTTTGGAATATCAGCCTGGTGGGGGTGATTTTTTTTAACTAGAAAATACTACTCAGGCCTAGTGTCTACAAACTTCTGGACATGTAGTGTAGTCACACATACACATATCTCAGACATAGGGGTGGGCAAGATAACGATATGTTATTGATTATGATAAATTACTTTATAATACACTTTTCTGAGTGCATAAGTATTGGCAATACTTCCTTAGCAATACTGAACGCCTACATGTATTATAAAAGACACATTTAGGCCTATTATCAGTATTGATGGGTATCAGGCCAATAACAGGAGAAAATGATGGATCGAATATCTGAGGAATAAAAAAGAATGAATCTGATTAAATCCTGTAACAAATCTATCCTGAAATTACACTCACATCGTGCATTATTTGCTGTGTGTTTCCTCCTGTGGGGCAGTAGAGTGATTGAGTAGTTTCAGCATGGTAAACTACTTTTAGAAAAGTACTTTACCATGCTAGTTTACTACTTAAAGAAAACTATTGGATAGTCTCAGGTGATACTCATGGTTTCAATAATATCAGTATCAGAAAAGAAAAAGTGTCAATCAATTATGTCATTATCTTATTTTATTAACTTTATTTGCCAGTTGTTTGATCTTTCCTTTCATTAGGGCTGAACGATTAATGAGATCACATGAAAAGACAAAGGACACTTTTGCTAAAACTCCTGCTGTTTCTCCTGAGCAAATGACCTCAGTAACACTTAACACTCATCTCTATCTAAACTAAACCATTCAATCTCTCCTTTAACTTTCCTGTATCTCATGTCTGCTTTTTTGTCTAATGCTATTTCTCCTAAGGACTTTTAGGAGGATCACTATTAAGTCCCCTGAGCTATCAAAGAGCAACATTTGAGCAATACAATTTTCCTATGGGAAGGTGTCTAACAGCCTTTCCTCAAACGTGCCACTGCTGTCTTGCTGGTGCATTTGGTCCACTCCTCAAAAACCTCAAAAAACGAAATTTAGTGTATCGTGAAAATGCCTCAGTATTACGCTGCTATATATTTTGCCATATCACTCATCCTTACTCAGACTTAACAGCACACATGCTATGTACATGTTAGGCCTAGAAGGTGGTGAAGCAGGTGACTAGAGAAGAACTGCATTCCCTTTTAACCCAGGCTTGTTCCCATAGCAATGCTTCCTGGTCCAAGGGGTCAGAGATTATGCAAAGGAGTCCTGAGCAGGAAGAACAGAACCGATACTGGGTAATGGAGCATCTGACTGTGTATAATTAAGTATCTAATTCTGGTGAAGTCAGACATTTTATCATACAAGGCCTCGTGCAAAACGCCAGCAGCGCCATCCCACTGTCTCACTGTCCCAAGACTGGTCTCCCACACTCTACAGTTTAAATAAATGACCTCATGTTTTTGCACCCTGGCCATCAATCAAGTCAATGGAAAACATGATCCAGCCATTCTGTTATCTCTTAACACCTTACCAACCGAAAGCCAAAGCAAACACCTACGGTATTCAGGCTATGACAAAGGAGAAGTGATGTGTCACATCTTGTTACTTTCTAAAGCATTTTTAGACTATTTTAAGGAACACACACTGGCATCTGATGCCAAGGCAAAGTGGTAGGTGCATCTGAATTATTCAGAAAGGAGAAATGACAATGAGAGAAGCTAAAGTATCACTAAGGAGTCCATGTGATGCCTATCAGATTTTTATAGGAAAGGGAAGTGTCTACACTTGCACTTTCCTGCTTTATCAGATCAGGGGGATTAGGTGCAGCTAAGAGACAGGTGAAGAAAAAGAGAATTGTGTGTTAGTAGTCAAAATAAATAACAAATAAATAACAAAATAAAACGCTTATCAGTAAAATAAGACGTGTGAAGGCAATTTCTAGACCAAAAAGTACACTAAAACCAGCAATGTCTCATCATACAGCACATTTGTTGTCCGTTTCTACCTAACTCTTCAATCCCAACCATCTAAGAAGCTTAAATCCGAACAGTAATCCCGAAGCGGTGTACCCATAAGATCAGAGTGAAACGGTGCAGAATTCAACAAGCCCGTTACATTGGAGTCTCATAAGAGAAGCACAGTGATGTTAACACAACAGCTAATCATGTAACCTACATTAAACCCCAAGAACAGCTTCCAGTTTTACCAGTAACTTCCAAATGAAAACCTGAAGCTATGTATAAAGGTGATGTGTTAATTTCGACAGCTAGTGTTATATTAAAGAATTGTACATTACCATGGTCCTCTTCGGCTCATCAGGAACTTGTGCGAGGCTCGGATGCAAATCCACGAGTGTACGACGGGAGTGTGTGTGGTGGGAGTGTGTGTGGCAGGACTCTGCTCTCTGCCATGCTCTGCCTATTTGCATGGCTGCTGTGTGAGCTGCCGTTTGCGTGTCAGGTCGGTTATCGCTGGGAACGATAGAGGCGAGAGAGCCGCGCGACAGACAAAAGCTTTTTGTTTCCTCTCATGGTCACATTAGCGCTGTTAGCCTTGCCTGGCTCTGAGGTAAAGACCACAGATTACAGCACACCAGCAGTGTTGACCAGGTGAAGAATCAGGAAAACGCACTCATTACGGCTCTAATGAAAAACAAATGCACTTTCATATGAAATTTATATGACTTTAAGAATCTTACAGTTTCGGGCAGTTACTGTAGGCTACTGCAACACAGGTGTAAACCGACACAGGTACACGGTCGTATAAGGCTGGGGAAACTAGTCAAATATGGTTTTATCCGTAAACTTTGGACAACAGATATTAATTCTGTCGCGTTCAGATTTGTTTTTCGCCACTTGACTGTCTCTCAATTCAATTCAGTTCAGTAAACTTGACCATATCCAGTTACAGCACTGCCAAAGCGTCATCAAGAAAGAGGGAACAAGAAAAAAGGAACATTAAGAACATTAAAGAGTGTAAGAGCTCTCCATTTCATTCGATTAAAAAAAAAAATTGCATAAAAAGAATAGCAATAGTTAGCAAAAATTATAAATAGGGCAGTTTGTGCGTGTGTGTGTGTGTGTGTGTGTGTGTGTGTGTGCGTGTGTGTGTGTGTGTGTGGTTTATGCCACATTGTGGGAACCTGTACATACACTCACGTTGTAGGGACCTTTCTTCCTTGTGGTTACCACAAGCTGATCCCCACAACGTAAATCAACGTAAATTTTAAGGTGAGGGTAAGGGGTAAGATTAAAGCTAAGGTAAGGGTAGTAGTAGTAGTAGCTAGTAGTAGTTCTGGTTAAAGTTCTCCAGGAAATGAATGGAAACCTAGGTAATGGCCCCACAGTTCACAAAAGCAAAATCGTGCTGTTGTTGCTAATGATTTTAATGGTAGAAACGTGCGATACGAGTGAATTTGTACAGTTTGGAAGCTGTGAATGTATGAATGTTGATTTTAAACTTTGAAAGTTTGAAACTATTTTATTGAACATCATGACATTACTGAAATCTGAGCCTTTCTAATATTATCCACATTATCCATTGCCAGTATATATATATATATATATATATATATATATATATATATATATATATATATATATATGCTATGTATAACAACATGCAGCGTTAGTAACACCACTGACAGTCTTTTTTGTGACACATGAAGCTGTCAATATTTTAGCCAAATTTGTCAGAAATATCAAAAGAGGACTTCTCAAAGTTAGTCTTTTTACCTTTGAGATATCTATATTAAAAAAAACAGTTCAAAAAGACCTTTTTTAATGTTTCTTCAACACCAGAGACACAAAAAAAATTCTAGGGACAACATTTATTATCAAAATAAATAAAAAACCTTTTTGTAACATTGGGGCAATATAACAAATTTTAATGAACTTCTACAATTTAAACTGAAAACCAGCATCAAAATTGTTGCTTCACATAATAATAATACTTTAGCATTTGCAGAAGCACTGCTTTGATGTAGTGTTTTTCATGCACTACATGGCTAAAAATCACTAAAATAAAAATTCACAAAGAAGAATCACCATCTCTTTCTGTTGGATAATTTAGGAATAGAACATATAATACTCAGACATCAGCTTTCTGTGGTTTATTTTTATTTTGAGCTCATTTTCATAGCTTTAAAGTTGTGGGAAATACAATGACCCAAATGTTTCTGCAAGGGGGAGGACTGTGGTCCTGCCTGCATAAAGCAGATTCCCACTCTCCATAATCAGGTTTAAGATTTTTAACAAGGGGGCACTGTTAGCTCTCAAATATACCACATGGCCAAAAGGCAACTCTCCTAATTATTTAGTTTGGGTATTTCAGTCACTATCGTTCCAGTTGTATAGATATGTTGTTCATATGTTTGCATATGTTTATCTCCATAGACAAAAAGTGGCAGCAGAATGGGTCAAACTGAAGAGCCCTTTGACTTTAAACCACTATTGTAAGATGCCACCTTTACCACAAGTATGTTCATGAAATTGCAGCTTTGCCCCTAGATCTGCCCCAGTCAACTGAAAGAGTTGTTATTGTAAAATGGAAATGTCTAGGAGCAACAACAGCTAATCCACAAAGCAGAGGACCAAGTGAACTCACAAAACAGGGTTGAGGGCCCGGTGAGCGCTCAAGCACATAGCACGTAAACATCCAATAGTGAAGTTTTGGTGGAGGAGGGATGATGGTCTGGGGCTGTTCTAGGGTTTGGGCTCAGCCCCTTAGTTCCAGTGAATTGTAATCTTATTGCTATAGCATACAGAGACATATTTGATAATTATATAGTTCCAACTTTGTGGCAACAGTTTGGGGAAGACCCTTTCCTTTTCTAACAGGACTGTGCCCCAGCGCACAAAGCAAGGCCCATAAAGGTTTGATGAGTTTGGTGTAAAAAGAGAAGTCTTAGAAGTAATTAGAAGTCTGCTCTGCTTAAAATAATACATTTACTGATTACATGGCTTTTCTTGAGTTGACTCAACTTGAGGACACCAGAGTTTACCCAACTCAAACTTCTTAGTTGAGTCAAAAATTCTGGCAGCCACTGTTTCTAGGTCTGCATCTCAGTTACATAAACAAAATTGAATGAGCATTTTTTCACTCAGTTTCTCTTTTACCTGGCACTCCTTCTATCACACAGACCTATCTGGCATATCTTGGGCTTCTGGATATGGACAGCTATGGCACTGCTGAGATTCAAACTCACAATTTCCTGATGCTGGGATTAATTATTAGACAGTTGCACCACATGAGACTATGCCATATATACTTTAAAGTTAAAACAAGAAATATTTCCACAGTGTATTAAACATTTGTAGACACAAAATCTGAGTTGCTTCATGTCTTCCTGAGTGGTTCAGTGGACAAAGCCGTCACCTCAACAGGAGGTTGTGAGTTGAGCCCCAGCAATGCCATAGCCCAAGAGGAAAAATGTCTAGCAGGTTGTGTAATGGAAAGAGTCCTGGCTAGTGGGGAAGTTGAGTATAAAAAACAAGTTCATTTTATTTACCTAACTGAGATGCAGAACTGAAAAATTAAGAGAACTTTTGACTAAACTAAGAAGTTTGGTTTGTGTGAACTTTTGTGTCCTCAAGTTGAGTCAAGGCCAGGACAGCCATGTAATCAGTTACTATATCATTTTGAGTTGAGCTGACCTCTCATTTTTTAACAGTGCAGAAACCTGCATTCAGTGTATTCAGTATTCAGCCATCACAACCTTTTCAAAGTATATTGTCAAACCTTGCTTACGCACACCCTCTAGGTAATGTTTTTAGTACAATGATAAGAATAGAAAGTGACCAGGCTCCCCTTAAATAGGCTCTGGTATAAATATTAATGTGCTATTATAATTTTCTCTGGAAACCTTTTCAAATGATGGTCATTCTTTTCTGTTAATAATTAATTATCATTTAATCATACAGATATGAATTCTGGAGAAGTTAGGCTACAGCAAGATTATCACTAGGAGATGTAATACATCTCCAGTTATCCTTTGACAAACATCAGCTCACTTTTTATTGTAATTATACAGTACTGCATGATTACTGGAGTCTGAGGTCATGGCTGGAAACCATTGCTACTCAATTCAAAGCTATACTGAACACAAAAATGATGGCTTTTTGCTATTTGCTCAAGATGGTATAATATTTAAACTGATTCCTTAAACCATTTTTCATAACATTATTATGTAAGGAAATACATTTCTAGAATAAAATCCAGAGCTATTGTTATGTAAAAATGATGGCTGGCTAGTTTTAGTCTATTGAACAGAAAGGGACAGATGTGATAGATGCACAAGAGGAAATGAACTAAGCAGTCTTCCAAAGATATTCCCTAACAAAAATTACAGGTAGGATTAAACTTTCTTGTTGTACTGGTAGTCTATCTTGTATTTTCAACTCATTATCACTGCTCAGCTGTGGATTTGGACATGGACTTTTTTCCTTTCATCGACTGTGAGAAAACCTGATCGAGTGGAGCTGTTGGAGACGTGTGAGGCCTGTTTGGAACAGCCTACGGACAAAATTAAAGGAATACTCTAGTAACTGGTGTTCACATGTATGGCCAGCTGATGGCAGTATAGGCCTACACACACAGTGATTGCGCTCATCTGTTTCAAAACATACAGGTTTTAGAACTGGAGTGTTACGAGGAGTGGTGAATCAGAGATGGACTACTGACCAGGCCACCGGCCAGGGGCCTCTGACTGCCATTCATATCATGATGCTTGAGGTGGTTCAGAGCCTGGGGATGGTCCGCTGTAGATGTGAAAATTAGATAAACAAATAGGCCTTGAATTTGTTATGACAAAATAAATTAAATAAAGAACATTTTGCCGAATACTGTCACCTTATTTAAAACAATTAACTCTCCCTGTAGAGAATTTCCCTGAGTTGTGCTATTTGTGTTTTCTGACGAGTATTAGTTCATACTAATTCATTCATAGAAGGAAAAATCTAAATAGAGACCTCCTAAATAGCTCTCGGGGATTAAAGTTCTTTGGCACTGTGCAGGACCGTTTTAGATAGAACAAAAAGTTCCGGTCCTAAAATCAGATTGACTGAGCCGTGTTTAAAGCCATTGTAAAATCCACGATATACGACACCTGTGACCACCTCACAACTGAACTCTGTATTACTACGCCACGTCACGAAAAACGTGTGCTGTTAATGGAATAATCTTTGACTCTAATGCAGCTCGCATGGACCACCGAATGTACTGATGAAGTACGAACCCGTTTCTGTTTAAACTGAGGGGCTGACTGTGGAGTTAATTTTGTTTTAAAAAAAATGATCAAATCCAGAAGCAAAATGTTACGTATACAAAATATGTTGCAAATACAAATAATGAGTGTTAAATCAAACTCAGTTTTTCAAAAAAAAGATGTGTTTTGCTTTCATTTTCTGTTTTGCTGATTCTGCTAACATATTCCTTGCTTCGGAAATGTTTTTTTGCTTTTGACTTTAGGCACTTTTTCACAGGGGGCGGGTCTTAAAAGAGGGTGTTCACCTGCACTTTC